AAAATACTTCAACATGTAAGTTTTATTTGTTGTTTTTCAGAGTGTGACAGACAACACAGAGAAAGAGAGGTGTGTTTTTACCGGACAGCCTTGGATCATCTCCTGCGTTTCCTCCATCAGCCTGTCTCTCTCTGAGTTACGCTTTAACTGAAACAGAAGAAACCATCTGTGTATCCATCGCACTAAACAGAGAAATGCTACAGATTCCACATTTAAACTCATCACGAGGTACTGACTCAACGTGTTGTACCTTCTGTATGAATTCTCTGAATTGTAGGAGGGTGTTGAGGGCAGAGGAGAGGTGTGTGTGGTCAGGGTGACCAGGGTGTGTGTGTAGAGACAGAGCTTGAAGCAGAGTCACATACTCCTGTATTCTCCACACTGGACACAGTAGCAGCTCCTGTAGGCTTCACACACACATACAAACATATGTGTAAACACTACAGTTTAATGGATTCACAGTTTATTTTAGCCAGGTGTGGATGATAACTGCCCTGGAAATAAACACCATATATATATATATATGTGTGTGTTGTTACCTCAGCATGTGTGTTGCAAGAGTTCGGTCCGCTCTCTTCAGGAAAGCCCGAAATGGAGGTTTTGTCTCCCTGCACTGGCACAAATACACAACATTAAATTAAACCTTTAGTTTAATTAGCCAGGGGTGCTGTGTGTTTGATTATTACAGTTCTAGGAAAAGAAGAGTCGATGTCTTTCTAACTGATATATCTGACAAATACCTGCATAAACCCAGTGCACACTGACACACTAGAACTACTTTAGTTAGCTTGAGGTGCCTCATGCATGACCACAAACACACTGTCTGACTTTACCTTGTCGATGGCACTGAGGGCAGTGGTGCAGTTGTTGAGGTAGTTGGTGTACACTCTCAGTTTTGAGCACAGTTTTACAAACACATCTCCAACACACTGCTGTGCACCCCATTGCTGCAGCCTGGCCTGTAGGTCTACCTGAAACACCCTGTAACAAACACACACACTCTCTATCATGTCCACACAGAGGCATGCAAACCAGACAGTATCACATTAATATTTGTGTGTGTGTACCTGTTGAGCTCCAGTATTTGTGTGACAGGGGTGAGGATAATGTGGATGTCAGCGTAGCTCAGAATGGCTCTGTTGGAGTTCAGTGCAGCTGTAAGAGGCTCCTGGTACACCTTCAGCACAAGAGGAAGGACAGGTAAAGATTAAATGCCTCAGACACAACACTTATGGAGTTGGTGGTTCCTCTGAAAACATTATTCTCCTCAAATCAGATTCTAATAACCACTCTAATAATCCACTAAAAAAGTGGGAGAAACTTGCAGGCCATGCAGCTGCAGAACTATAATGATTACAAAGGTATTATATAAACTCCCTATGGTTTGCAAAAAGGGCCCACTTCATATCAATTATCAGTGGCAGTTTTCTGGTCCACATTAGCTAATATTTATTCAGTTAATAAGTCTGATTAGACTTCATGTCGAGTGGAACCGCACCTAAAACAACGGCCTCTCAGCAGCTAAACATGTGATAGTGTTACTAAATTTCCTGAATGAAAGAAAGTTTTATTGTTAATGTTATGTTATAGTCTAGCAAGTACCTTCAGCACAGCGCCCAGTCTCCTCAGATAAATACTCTCGCTGTGATGCAGCTCTCTGGCAACGGCACCTCTCCAATCTAACGCTGTCTATTGAGAGAAAAAAAGAAATGTGTTGTTAGGATGAAGCGTGCTCCTTCAACCGTCTCTGAATGGACAAAGCACACACACCTGCGGTGGCTCAGATATCCGACTGACACATGTCTGAGAGCCATGTGATGCTCCTTTGTTTTTCAACTTTTCTTCACCACTACTCTCTTCTCTCTCCTTCTCCTCACTCCATTTTGTCAGGAAGACAGCAAGAAACTCCAAAGGTCTTGTCTGACGATGAGAAAGAACCAAGGATTATCTCATTTTTTTCTCCACCCTTGTGTATTACAAAAACTTCTTTACAATAATTCTTACCTCTTCCTGTCTTGTGAGAGCAACGAGTCCCTCCGTCAGAGCCTCATTTAGCTCTTTGGACACACAAAGCTCCTCAAGGCAGATTTTCTCCCACAGAAAAAGACCTATAAACATATCAACAGATTTTTCAGAAGGTTTTCAGGACACAGAGTATGCAGGCATTTGTTTCAACCTGCCATGGATCCAGCTGTGTTTAAATCTAATGTATGTGAAACCCACCTAGAGCTCGGCCCCGGGCCTGGAGGCCAACCCGCTGTAGCTGTGGCCCCAGGCAGACTCTCAGCTCCCCCAGAGCCTCCTCCATCCACTGAGCCTGTCTGCACCAGCCCTGCAGGACGCTCTCACAAACAAACTGTAGTGCCGGGGCCGCCGGCTGCTGCTTCGAGAGGCCGGTGCACACACTGCCGTCAGACCACTCACTCAGGACTGGGGGAAGGAAACAAAAACATTTTTCTTGTGGCATTGTACACTTGGTGGTTGTTTGTATTAATAAAGCTAAAAACATTCATTGTATTTGGGTTGTATACTACTGGTCTATGAACTGGACCAAATGTACTGTGTCGTGAATTTGTGTATTGTGTCTTGCGTTTTTTTATTGTTTTGATAGTTTGGACCGATCACCAGTTGCGGCCACCAATAACTGCGGTCTCAAACACATACTTTGCATTTCCTGTGGCTTCTTCACAATAAAAGCCATCCCTTGTTTTGCGACTTGAACTATTTAAATGTAAAGCAGCGGCTGACACTAACGAAATGTATTACGCTGGATTACATGTATGCGTGTGAAGGCATTTTAAAGCCAGTGTGGGAATGGTGGACCACACCACTAACAATAAAATGATTGAATCAACAGCTATTGCATTGAAGTTTTTTAAGAAAGTCACGACATCCCACTGAGCCAAGAATCACATCAGGCGCCTGCTGGCTTAGAGGTGTTAGTGGTAGTTTTGAGGTTACACAGAGCATATTCTTAAGCTGGGGGATCTTAAACATTTATCAGTTCAGTCAGTCTTGTCCATGGGTGACTCACTGTTCTGGAAACTTCCGGTGGCAAGACCCATTGGCGCCCGAACCTCCAGACCAGTAAGAGTAGTGAGAGTCTGGATGAGAGCCACTCCTGATGCTGAGGAAGAGAGAGAGAAAGCGAGAGACAGGAAGTTAGTGAGACAGATGCAGAGACAGGAATATAGATTCAGGGGAGTGTGTGTACTAACATCTGTGTCTCTACCTACCGGATGCTGCCAGCGGGGAGAAGATGTCAATCCCACCTCCCTCCTCAGCTGGTGCCACCCAACCACACAGTTTTTCCCAGAATTCTCTTTGGTCAGGGGTCAGAAGAGTCTTCTCTGACAGGCTACTACCTGAAGGGTCAACGTTAAAACAAAGTGAATCAGTAAACACAAAAAATAAGATTCCCTAAGTCAACTTTTCAGAAAGATTTTTAACTGTTTGAGCTACATGCATTTTCAACTCGGTCTGGTTTGAAAGGTTAGTTGACAAACTTGTGAATGCTTTATGGCATGAAGTAAACACTACTACACTACAAACTGCGACTATGTAATTTAATCATACGTGCCACCGTGCATTTTGTATGTATCTAAATATTAGGAAGGGTTTTAAATTTGTTACACAAAAAAGCTGTATGTTATGAAAGTTCAAAACTCGACAGTTTCTTTCTTGAACAATCAAATTAAAACCAGGGTTCACTGATTTGATGTAAAATTAATCTAAGATTTATGAGAGTTAGTCTTGGGCCAACTCTTAGCCAGGGGACGAGGATAGCCATGGACTTAAAAATGTCCTATCATAATACAATAAGCCATGAAATGGTTTCAGCAGATGTTCTTCACAGTACCCTGAGAGATAAACTTCTAACACTGGAGGCTCCAGTTGGACTGGAACAGCGCCTGGCAGAATTCCCACACATTGAGATACACAGGATTATTAATTCTCACTGTGAAGCAGATGGATTTCCTCTGTTCCTCCTGGAGCTAGTAGGCCCAGCCTCTGAGCTCTCTGCCCAGAAACCGCCCTCTCCGCCTGGGTTAACAGAGCTGAGAGAGTCCCTCTGTGATCATACAGAACCACAATCACTCCTGCCTTCACACCACTCAGCAGCAGCTAGATTGAGCACATGGAGAAAGAGAAAGAGCAGACAGGGAGAAATATTAAATGTTCATCTTCCCGCTGTGCTTTTTTGTTTTTGCTTTACACACTATTTTCTTCGTCATTGACTGATAGACTGTTTCTTTATTTTTCTTTTACCTCATAGGCAGGAATCCTATTGGAAATCAGCAGTAAGAGGGCAGGAGTGGGCAGATGGATGGGTGAGGCTGTGTGTGACAGTGCAGGTCTGTAAGTAAAGGAGGACAGCGCTCTGCTGGCTTTGTTCAGTCTTTCACTGGAAGAGAGGATGGAGGTTTGGTTACCATTCACATCACAGCAGAAAATCAGTGCAGAAAAAAAACATTAAAAAGGAACAGTTCGACATTTTGAGAAATATGCTTATTTGCTTTCTTGTAGAGAGTTGAATTAGAAAATCTATACTACTGTCTGTTTGCTCTTTGTGTCAAGCTAGAGCTAGCAGCCAATTAGCTTAGCTTAGGCTGGAATTGGAGGGAAACATCTAGCCTGTCACAAGCGGTCGAGTTGGGCTTTATGACATTATAACGTAATGTACATTTAACACAAGCCAGTAACGGTTTTAGATCATATTTGCTGTAATTTAGGAGAAAGACGATGGTAATTGGGGAAATTAAGGCAAACATTTACAGCAGGTTGCATTAGAGTTGCAGTAAAGGGCTTGAAACTAACATTTTCTCTGCAGCCACACTGACAACGTTGCCTGCAGATGTGTCTTTTTTTTCTTTATTGGCCTTGTGAGCACAGGCATTGGCTGATGCTTATTATCCCAAAATGCCAGACAATTAGCCATCTATCCATCTACCTGGCTCTGTCAAACATTTAAAAAAATTCACCTCTAAAGCTCCCTAATTAAAAAAGAAACATGGACTGCATTTAAAAACAGCAGCACTTTTGTCCAAAGGCTTTACAAATTGCCTTTAATTCACTCACACATCGAGGGACCCGTCCTGATCAATGAGAGCAATTTGGGATTCAGTGTCTCGCTCAAGGATTTATTACAGAGCTCTTATATTGTGTTGCATTATATTATACAGTGCCCTCAATGCGTTTTATCTTAAAAAGACAGGTAACTAATATCACTCAAGGTAAGTGAGAGTTTATGGAGACAATCACCTGCTGGGGCTGGAGGTCTGGACTCTGTCCCAGCTCTGAGCTGCAGTCATGGGCTGTCCCCTGTCCTGGCTAAGACAGAGGAGGCTGGGAGAGCCAACAGTCCGTGCAGGCCAGGAGAGAGAGGGCCAAGAGCTAAATGTTAGTCCAGAGCTGGACCTCCCTGTCTGGACACTTCCACCTCTGGCTCCTTCTGGCTTTGTGTAGCTGCCCCAAGCTCTCCTGGTTCTCATAGATAGTCCTGTAAATATGACACATATAAAAACAAAGGGGTGCTGCTACTACCATTTCAAGAGCTTTTTGTCTTTTTTGATATCTCTTTTCCACTCACTCTTCTCCTCCTGCAGTTTGTCTCTGATCATCTGCCTGATCCTCCTCTCCTTCCTCTTCTCTTCCTCCTCCTCCTCCGTCGTCCCTGTACTTTGTTGGTTGAGGGTCCCATACTGCTCGGCCGCCTCCCGGGGTGTAAGCCAGTCCAGCGTGGAGACGCAGGAGACATAATGGTTCCTCCACGCTCCGTATTCTTTGTCTCCTGGAGTGTAGGGAAGGAACCAGCCTCTTCTGATGCACCGGCTGGCCCAGAGACAGTCCTGGGCAGACAGAGACAGATGGAAGAAAATGAATCAGTAGCCCCCCGAGTAAAAGTAAAATCTCTCTCCTCTGGGCCTCTCACCTGCTCAGCAAGGACCCTCCAGTGCCAGCTGACTTGGGCGGCAGAGCAGAGGTCACGAGGGGACAGAAATGACATCACATACAGGGACAGGAACCGTGGCAGCACCACTGTGAAGTCCACTTGAGTCACAGGAACAGTCTCGATCAGCAAATCCCTACAGTACCTGCTCAGATTGCCAGAGCATTTCATTTTAAAGGCTGTAAGCTTAGTGTGTTAGAGTATCCCAAACAACAAATTAACTCTTCATTGCTATGACACAGAAAAAAGGGAGGTTTACTTGAGCTGTGACTTGGTGCAGCGTGTGAGCAGTGAGTCCAACAGGTGTTTCCTCTGTCTGTCAGTCCACAGGTCAAACCAGTGGAGCACAAGGTTCATCCTCTCCTCAAACAACTGGGAGTAAATGGGAGAAAGGACACCAACAAACTTTACACAGTCTGTGAAAAGCATACGGAAGGTGACCCTCATTGCCTAAGAGTCTGGCTGCTCTTCCAAAAGCTACAAAACTGGCTTCCAAAACACTGATGAAGGCCGTAGAAAAAGCAAAACTCCAAATAATTTATAAAAAAGGTCAAAAGAGTAAGACTGATGATGTGATAATGGCTGAAAACCTTGGGCTAATGGGGCCATTAGTAAAAGAATCAAGTTGGTCTTTTTGTGCTCTTTGCAATTTATTGTTGAATGATGTTAATTTATTTTAAAAAAATCTTTTATTCAGGAAACCTTGTAGTTTTTACTATGCAGTGGAATTTAATGAGGACTCAGAGTTTGGATTGAGTCTTAACACTCACAATGTTAAGAAAACAAAAAGATGGAAGATCTGCTTTTACATGGTTACAGTTATTATCATACACACATATACACATGTACATACATATATAGACGTTAAATACCTTTATGAATGAACTGGTAACCACCACATGGATTCTGACAGCTAGTTCCTCACACAAATAATGTTGAAAATGAATGTTTGTAAGTTTGTATGCAGGACATTAACATTAGGTGCTGCAGTCTGCTTTCAACCTCTGATTGAAATGCTCAGATTTCAGTGACTATGGGATTAAATCCTTTAGAAAGAGCTCAGGTGAGGTAAGAGAGGAACCCCCGTACAATAAGTTACAATGTGACTTTACCGATATACAATGTTGTTTAAATGACAAATTAACGAATTTACCGTGGCAATGTTTATCTTTGTTTGTGTGCGCAGTCCACTGGCAGTGTACTGAGGGGGGGGGCTTTGCACACCTGTTCCCAATCAGGTTAACTGGCCAATGAGCGGAACCCAAAGTGTTTGTGTTACTGCAGGTTAGCCTCAGTGACAGCACGGGGAGGTTACTGTAAGGTTTATATAATGCATTCAACACCACAATACGGCTTTGAAACGGTACCAAGGACTTCAGAATAAAAGTATTTTATGATATAGTCCACATGACAGTCTCATATTTGACGCACAGTCATAATATGGTCATTCCTGCCATCTGGTGGCTATTAATTATCATTCCAGAAGCCTTCAGAGCAGGTTCTGCTTTGTTTGCTGGTCTGACCTGCAGGTTGCTCGTCTTGTTGTTCAGCGGGGTCCAGGTGCTGAAGCGGGTTTGGGACCGCAGTCTGTGGACCTGCTGCGGGTCTTGGTCTGTCCCGCTGAGCTGCCACCGCTTCACCGAGTGCAGGTTGGCCTGCATGTTGCTCACACGGGGAGACCCGCTTTGAGAAAAACGCTTTTATTTCTGCTTAAATCCTTGAACTCTGATTTCCTGTCAGATTTTGCTCTCTAACAACAGCAGCAGCAGCAGGTTGCCACTGTGCTGCTCACTGCTCCCAGACCAGTAACCTTAGAGACGCGTCAACAAAAGGATGAGCGCATTCCTTCACAGCAGCACATCAATAAATAACAGGATGGGTTCAAGTCTGTGACCAGGAAACAAACAGCAGCATAACAACAGGCAATAGTAATGTAAATGTATGTGAGAATAGCCTAATGAATAATCTGTAATATGATATATAAGAAACATTCATATTATGATGCAGTTCATTAAAAAAGCTTACATTTCTAATGCCTGCACTAACAGGACTCTTTAAATATGTTGTTTCAAGAACATTTATATGCAAATGAATGCTAAAAAATGATGCATCTGACTGTGGGTTAACTTAACTAATGCAAGAACAAAGTTATTACGTAACAGAGGGAGGAGGTGGATAAGAGAGCTCATTTTGGCATGCATTTCTCCTTTCCCTCAATTATTCCCACACTCTCTCCCATCGAAACTGAGTCCTTCGTCAGCATTCTTTCCCTTTGAATGGTTTAAAACACTGATGGTAGCCAAGAGATTCAGACCACACATTTATTAAGTGAATAAAAACAGTTAAAACACTTCAAAATAGTCCCGCATCCCCCCAAACAACACTGGTTAAAATAAGTCACAAAATAAAGTAGGATTTACAATCAAAGCAGCATCAAATGATTATCTTAAAACACAGAATCCAAACCTCATCACGTTCCATGTGAGTCCATTAAAAAGGTTAAAACCGATAAGGCAAAAATGATTAAATCAAAGAAATTAAGGCATGGTTGTGACGTCGACATCTGAATCAATCTTAACCAGCGTCAAACTAACACACCGGGGATAATGTGCAGTGTGTCCCGCATTTTGAATGGATATGTGCAAATATATTCAACACTAAGCAAGGTGTTGGAGGTGATCAGGCCACTCGCACGGAGCAAGAAACCACTAACTGGGGTCACTGCTTAGTTTTTTGTTTACCCGTAACACGCAGCTCACTGTACGTTGTACTATTGTTTTGGCAGATTTGATGAATTTAACTACAGTTTAAATCTAATCAGGGAATATTTATTGGTTTTTATTGTCTCAAAAACAAGATCTACGATTGTGTTGAGAAACAATTTGAATTGATTGATTTTATGACGACAGATAAGACAAAGTGCAACAGAATGAGTTTATATATATCTTAAAAATTGCTATAGGGGTAAGTTAGGAGTCAGTTCACTTTTAACAAAGACCCATAAACACACACTGACAGACCTGTGAATTGTGAGTGCTTCATATAAATATCACTTTGGTTAGCAATGTATTGCAAATCTATACTGTTGGGAAATTAATGAATTGACACAAACAGGCCACAGCAGGGACGCACCAATGCCGATATATGAACTGTAATGTAGATCAGATCATCTCATAGATCTTAATCCTTATATATGTGTGTAACGCACACTATAATAATATAATATATTGTGTTTAGGCTGTCAGTGCATCCCTGTTAGGACTTCTTACAATACATCCGTCCACCCTGTACAGACAGGGAACGCTGGTGAACAGCTTTGTTGCTATTTATGCCATAATACTTAAAAGTGCCTCAAATTTGCTTCAACTCCGCCTTATCCTTTGCAGCCCATCTAGGTGGCATAAAACAAACAGCCCGAGTCAGACGGGGGTTCAGATGAGAGGAGAGATTTCACATGCTGGCAGTCCTCGGGATCTCTTGGGAGTCGGCTAGGTTCAGTTTCTGACTGGAGATGCAGAGTCAAGAAATAAACACAGGCCAGGTGACGTTTTTACCAAGATCAGCACTGGACGGATTAAACACAAAGAAGTTTTACTTTCACTTTAAAGAAAGCAAATCAAGACTGAAAAGATGCCTGGAGACTGGTGAATGTTAGATATATAAAAAAAAAGGATACATAGAAGAACTCAGCTCCTCAAGCTGCGGAGAAAAAGAAAGTTTTGATCTTATTAAACATTTTCAATCGCTGTAAAGGAGCTTTGAGACTTCGTTTTGTGTTTGACGTGCAGCAAGCGTCTAACAGAAGCTAACTAAACTCTTAAAGCGCTTTAACACATTCCAGATAAATACTTGCCGGTATGTCGAGCAGTTACAGCACATCAGTGCGCAGCTTTATCCAGGCCGACACTGTGCTGCACCAGCCTCACTTCAGGAGCCATATTCAACAAAGGTCACACTATTTTAAAAGTTATGCTATCACAGTCTTACGTTAAGAAGTAATTTATCCATGTTGGTGTCGCAGGCCACTTTCCTCTGGTCCTCCGGCATTTCGTCCACCTCGCCGTAGAGGTCAAAGTGCAAACGGGCCAGCTTCTCCTGCATCTCTCTCACATGCTCCATCTGCCCAATGGAGCACTCATTACCTGACACAGGGAAGAGGAAGTAAAACACACATACAGGAGGCTCCAGCTGATGTTTATTATCATCATCTTGCTCTGTGTGTGTGTGTGT